GAAGCGAATGCAGTGTCATAAAAATTTATCAATTTCTTTCAACAGCTACATGACACTGACACATGTCACGTGAACTACAACTGAAAACTCAGAGAAGCGTTTGAAGTGAATACACGAGTATGAAAAAGCTCACTACCTATTAACATCGATCATATTTATAATTGTGATGGACTGGATTATGCGAAAGACCGTATGTCAGGAGCGAGAAGACAGAAATATATTGTGCCAATAAGACTCGAGAAGATCGGGATTTCGCGGACGATATACTTGTAAGGTCATATAAATTCGAAGACCTACAGGCAAAAGCAACAAGTTGACAGAAGAAGCAAACAGCGAAGACGTTGACTTCAAGTAAATATAGAAAAGAAAAATGTGATGAAGATAATCAACCAACCAACGATCACTATCAGCGGAATAAACTTGAAAGAGATTGCTTCCTTCATTTAAACAGGAAGCATCGTTTCAAAACCAGGCAGCCAGTAAGGATGAGAATGTCAAAATCAGAACCGGAAAGCAAGGCACACCTTGATCACTTTGAAATCATTCTGGAAATCTGCTACACTCACCATAAAGAACAAAATTAGAATTTGCAATAATAATTTTAAGTCAGTTCTTCTGTATGGGTCAGAGGCCTGGCACATCACGACAAGGACTTCCAACAGACTAACGCAAACTTTTATCAACAGTGGCTTTCGCTAGCTCTATACTGCAGATCAGATGGCCACAAAGAGTTAGCAACAAGAAACTCTGGGAACGAACCAACAAGTGAGAACCTATTGCTTAATATGTATACAGGAGGAAATGGAGACGGATAAGACACACGCTTAGAAGACCACTGGGTAACATATCGCATGCCAGGCCATCGCTTCAGTGCAACCCAAATGAGATATGACGAACTGGAAATCAGTGCGATGGTCACATGGGGATGAAAGATTATGGGCAGTCATGGTGACAGCTAAAGACTGAAGAGAATCGGACCAAAATGGAGATATCTTGTGGATGCCCATTGTTCCACCCAAAAGAATAATAATAATCAATATAAATCCATAGACATCACCTATAAACTGCTTCAAGATTGAATGCCTGGTTTACAGATCACCTTCTTGCTTAACAATTCTTTATTTCAAGTCCGGTGTGTTATAGATGACAATTCAGCTGGTTAACACGTTTAATCAATCAATCAGTCAGTTAGTCATACAATAAGCAAATCTCCAAGTCAACTGACTGAGTGATTATGCAATACATTTCAACATAACGAAAAAGAAAACAGTTCGGTCAGCACAAGTGTTGACATGAATAAACACACCCACATACATACACACATGCACATATCACTCACCTTTATGATGCACCTGTACATGTTGCTTAAGGAAATTTTTAGTGGAGTATGTTTTATCGCACTGGGGACAATTGAATTTTTCACCTATATACAACAACAACACAACAGAGAATAACACAAAATAAACAAAAAGGGATATAGTGAAGAGGAAACTTTTTCTTGCCTATATAAAGTGAGAAATTCAAATGATAAAAAATGCAACGAAGGTATATAATGTCAACTGATAACTCTGCAGATAATTTTTTTAAGAATTAGAAATAACGTCATATTGTGGCACGTGCTACTAACAAGATTTATCAGTAGTATGTAAGGAGAGATTCAACTGCATAAAAGCAACCAAAGAGCGGAAAAACAGATTTTATGATAACAAGAGGAAATGATGAACCAGTGCTGCAGAGAAAGTGTAAGACATTGAAAGAATCTAAGAAAACACAATACAAAGGGCAGCAGCAGCACCAGAGCATGGAATATCTGTGCGTTTTCATAAAAGATGTACGTAATTCCCCTGTATATGGAAATATCAAATTCCAAGAGAACATTCCGGTACCTAGTCTCTTGTCTTCTACGGTAACAATATCAACTATCTGATATTGTCTAATAATGAAACTTTCTAAATTACTACTCTGCATGACCAAAAAATTACAAGGTTAAAGATATAAAATATGTCATCTGATGGGATAGTGTTTGCCAACAGAAATTCAATGGCTTGACCTTCAGACTAGGTTATGTGAGATCGAATATTTGGCATATCGATCACGTGAGAAATGCTGATTCATAATATTTCGCCTTCTATCCTGACGTATAGGTTACTACATCGACTAACATCTGGCTGTGATGTATTTTTGCATGTGTTGACTATAAAAGATTTTTGCAATGAAATTGTTATATCGCATTCAGGATTGTAGAAATATTCGACATATACGAAGAATGATAGAAACAGTGTGAACACGCCCAAAGAAATAATAACTTGACCTATTCAGGTGTAAAAGTGAAATAAAATAAGGTGTGAATTAGGAGTCAACTGACAACTTCATCTTTAATCTTCAGATCCAAAATGATATTATCTCAACTGTTGGCTGTTATCTAGTGTTGAAGCTATCTCTGAATGTAGTTGTATGTCTCCGCTTGTCAAACTCAGATTATGAATGAATAGTCAACATTACTAATTTTTACACTTAGACATCTATGAGTCAATAAAGTAAGTTCTCATCATTTCACCTGCATACCAAATAAGAAGAACCCTGACTTCCAGAGGAGAGGGAGTAAGCACCACATGTCTTAAAAGGAAAATATTTAACTTTTTAAAGAAGGCCTTCTTTGTAACAACTCTGAGGATGAAGTATTCTAGTTGTTCTTTGCTTTTAATTAATTCGCCAGACAAAATCCCATGTATGACCAAATTGTTGTGGGTATATCAGTTCAAATTCTCTTCTGCAGCTAGGTATATAGGTTCATCTATGTGTTCTTTCAAAAGGAGTTAGAGAACGATATGCAGGATGGCTGTAAAAAAGGTGGCATCAGTTCTATCAGAAGTGATATAATGGAACACCTCGTTAGTGACTGCCACATCGCAACTCGTTATTCGGAGTCATTTACAGCTAAGTACTCCTTGTTTGAAAAAGAAGGAAATTCGATCACTTGTCACCCTTATTCCTCGTATATGTAGCTGTTACGCCATGGAGGAAGAGCTGAATCATTTGAGAGAAGTTCTGATAGAAAGTAGGTATCCATCACGTGTTATAGACAAAAGTATGCTGCAAAAACACATGCAATGTGATTTCACATTTGCATCCAAGAAATTAATGATACATTTGAACGTTCTACTCAAAGGTGACTTAGCTGTCAACATTCTTAAAAGAAAGATCTCACGATAACCTAAAGGACAAGATTCTATGCAGTTGGCTAACTCTCTGTGTGTTTACCAGCCTACCTGCTCCTGTGGAGCTAAGTACATAGGTCGTTCGACGTCGACTTCATCAAATAGAGTACAACAGACTACGAAGAGTCGGAAATGCAGCTTCTATAAGAAGCTCAGTAGTTGAATATATGATCAACACGAGTCATTCCATCTCTATCACCTCTTCTAAGTTATCTCTAAGGCGAAAATTAACCAGAGTATCCGGCTCCTCTGTATTGCTGAACCACCAGCTATTGAAACAGAGAAACCAGAGATTTGTACACAGTAAAAGTTTGTTCAACCGCCACTTATTTCGTCTGGAGTAGACTATATAATCCTCATTTCGACTTTGGCCCTATTTATTTTTCGTTTTGTTTATTCACTCTGATTATCCACCCTTTATTATTTCAATTATTATTATTATTATTTACACTTTGAACACTATCAGAAGCTATCTCACTTGTCACCCTTTATTTGTTTAATTCTAAGTAATTTTTCGCAATCTTATCAACAAAATTCATGTCTAGTTATGAAGTATTTTATGTGCTTACTAATCTTATTACCCATTTCTAAGACTTATAGGTTACATGGACTACTTTACGCATTACGTAACCGATTTAACTCCTTAATGTTTAACTATGATTGGGATCTCAAATACGTTGTCGCAACTTATATATATATATATGATAGTACATCTCGGTTAAAGACTCATTGAAAAAATCATCTTCGGTGAATCGTCTTAATGGGAATTTTCCATAAATCTAGAACTGGTACTGCGTCATCCCGATTTACTGGCCTGACTAGCCTGTTTACCTGACCTCACAGTGATAACATGGTGTCTAATAGATTCAACCATTGTCTAATTAGATCGCCATGCGTTGGTGGATCAGCGGTAGAACGCTCGCCAATCACCCACGCGGTCCAGGGTTTGATCCTCGCATGACACACTCCTAAAACCCCCTTTAGCCAATAATAAAGCCAGTAGATAGGGAAGGTTGGGCATGAGACTAGCAACTGCATACGGTAAAAATGAAACTACTGCTACCGAAACTTCAACGTTCTAGCTTCAAGGCCTATGTTCCACTCGGAAAGTAAAGGAATAAAATACTGATAATACTAATAATGAATAAATTATGTCACCACGTTGTGTATGCAATGCATACAATTAAACAAATAAGTGTAAGTCTAGGGTTGATGAGTTTAGTTGAAAAAAATCTTTGTTCACCGCATCAACATTCAACGCATGTAACAGTGTAGGGGATCAAAGAAGCTCGTGAAGTCAATTGAGTTTCAGACATTTCACTGCCAACGATCAATTCATTTTTCTGTGCAGACTGAAACACATGGTGGTCAGTATCATTTTCAAGGGACAAGAGGTTAGCGGTGGCGTTGTGGTGTAATTGTGTATCTCTATAGTCTATTCCTATCACCGCTAATAAATACAATTTTGAGTAGCCATGAGAGTTATATTCTCCCTTCACTAGCTGGGACTGTGTTAAGAACAGCCTGACTACCAAGTTAGGTGGGCAGGCTAGAGAATCAGTCAGCAGGTAGTATGGCTAAAGCTCAGGTACTACAGGATAGATGGCGACACAGTAATTGTGAGCGTTATTTCTAGGGGGAGTTAACTGAAAGCAAGCTCAAATCTGTTCGAGCAGTTTAACTAACTGGTTTCTTAGAGCACAATAACGCAACACTAGCTCTTCATAAACATATATATATATATATATATATTCTTCACAATCATACTATGACATAACTCACCATCATGTACTTCTCTCTTGTGTTTTACTAAATTCCACTTTCGAACAAACGACAGTTCACACTCATCACACTCGAAATATACACCTTATTGTTAAAAAAAATAAAAATAAAAACAGAGTAATGAAAAGCAATCTAATTAATAACTATAAGCAAACACACACTGATGTGAAATTTTACCACAATATAGGCAATGTTGTTACTATGTGAGTGCTAATAATGTTATCAGATACAGAAAGATTTGAGCGTAGAATACAATGCGAGGAAGATATCTATAAGCAGATAGGATAACTAGTCTTTAATGTTCGAATTGGTGTCGAGACACACATACATTGAACAAGCCAAACAACTGGTCAGAAGTTAGTTGGACATGTTCTCGCTCAAACATGACACATGATTATTAACCAAAAATAGTCTGATCCTGACTGACAGCCTGGACAGTTTCAACAGAGAACTTAGCACAGAAGCGAAGTAATTCAAGTTGCACCGCTGCATGCAGCATACAAAGGAAGACAAGAGAGAAAAAAGGTAATCGGAAGAATGATAATAAGCAGAAACGTGAGGGAGGAAAGAAAAGTAACATGGAAGAAGAAAAGAGGTTTATTGGATGTGAAAAATTAAAAATAGTGAATACATCTGCTCCAGACATATCTGAGAACCATTTCGAGTCATATCACTAACAATTGTCTCTAACCATCAGTCTTTGCCTTCCCGAGGACCCCAACCAGTCAGTCAGGAAGTCTGCACCCCCTTACGTGGCCGGCTTAAACAAACTGTAATGGATTTCATTGACTGATGAAGGCAAGTTTTGATCTGACCACCGTGTACTAGCTCTTCTGCAACCTTATTCATTCTATATCAGTAAGCTGACATTGTTCATCGAGGAAGGCGATGGCTAGGATAGGTATGCGTAACACTCGTCCTAACCATCTCAATCAGTGTAACCTCGTCGATTGATTTTCCCTCCTAACCTGACACTCAACGCCTAAAATCAATATTACTCACCAAATTACACCACCTAACACGGGAAGAAGCACGCAGATACCTTTGGTCTCCCACTTTCAATGACCATATCTCACAGCCAGCCACGAAGGAGGACGGGGTGAACTGCTAGGCAGTCGACATGTCCTTTGATTGACAGCCAGCCAGATATCACACCTGCGCCACAAATAATATATTTTGGCAAATGCTACATGAACCTTTTGTATCCGCACTTAAATGTTGTCAGCGACTAGCCTGATGCAATTTCTCAGATAAGTGAAATGATTAACACGCTCTACTGACCACTTCACTCCCTATCTTTAAGAGCTAAGAATCGATGTAGTCCAGTTCTGTAGCATCATTTTACATTTGACAAGAGCGAACCGCATGCCAAACATATGGGCAGCCGGAAGGTACACACTTCCGAAAGCACATGAAACTCCCCTGATCATCTCAAACACATATGTAGATGCCAGTTAATTTTGATCAAAGTCCACAAAATTCATTGGTTAGGGACTCTGTGTGACACGTCTCTGAATAATTTACTTCGATTTATGTGTATCCGTCCCATCATATTTGAAACCCCAAACACCACTTCTCATTGAACTATCCTTCTTCATTGTATTTCTGTTCACTTTCTTCAAGTGTGCCAACATAGATAGATACCACCAACACTATGCAATATTTTGCGCTGAACTGTTGTTATTCAGAATCATTCCATAAGGGTAGAATGGATTACAGAAAACCAACAACTAGACGGTTTCCCTATACAATTATGACTTTTTGATTACTCTTTTTCCCCGCTGAACTAATAGAACATTGCAAAACACTTAACTTCCAAGACACAATAGTAGTCTATAGTCGATAAGCCTTAGGTGTTTAGAATAATGTAAGTTTAAAACTTGGGCACTATGGTACAATGTAATTCCATATTAAGTAGGTTTATTTCAAATATCACACAGTGATGATGATACAGTATTAACAACTGGATGACAAGGTTTCGAGCAGAATTTATTCAGAAAAATATGAAGAAGAACCACAGAAAAAATCTAAGATTACTATTGAAAAGGACAAAAGAGTGACGAAGAAAATAATGTGGAATTCAAAGCCTCTGCAGTACTGATTTATAAGCAGGAACATCAAAGGTTCTATGTATGATTCTTTATGAGGTTGAAATTAGAGTGGCATTACAACCTACCAACCAACCAACGGATGAACTAAGAGATAAACTTTGCCGGCTTGTGGACCCAATAGATCCAATTAAGAAAAAAATAAGATAATTAACCAAATACCATGTAATGATTATAACTGAGATCAATTACATCATAGGTCAAACTAGTAGGTCAGGGTCAGTTAGATTATTGGAATATAAAAAGTCAGCTTGACCTAGAATAATTGACCCTGATAAGTTCAATAACCTGGAAAAAAAACAGACCTCAGCCATTGCACTGCATTCACTTGCATGTAATCACAAAACAGGGTGAGTGGGGCAGGGCGAGAGAATTAAAAAGTAATGCAGTTAGGTGGAGTGTGAGAGAGGTTAATAAATGAAACTTTGTTTATCGATTCAACACCACACACGTGCAATCGGGATGACGCAACACCTATCCCGGAGATATATAAAATGGCAACAAACAACAAGCGGAAGATGTATATATATAAGACAAATTGTGAGGCTGTGTTGCTAAATTTATATGATTATAAAACACCATCCAGTGCTTAATACTGTATCATCACTGTGTGTGATATTTGAAATAAATTTAGTTAATTTGGTGTTTTGAAGTTAAAGGTAGTGCAAATACTGAAATAATAATAATAACGGTAAGAGATTACTTTGTTTAGAATGATTATGAAAAGAAAGGCAGAAAAAAGTGCTTACCTTTGTGTGCAGAGCGTATGTGTTCATTTAAAGTCGCCTTCCAACTAAATGTCTGTTCACAGTGGTCACAGTTATACTCTAAACCTGTGCAAGATAAAAAACAAAAACTACTGTTCACACGTACTGTAGTAATCTGTTCACTAATCAATCATATATACATTACAACCATAATACATTACTGACAACAGCTCATTTCATGCAGACAGCATGATTTGAATAGCTGATTTACTTATTGAATAAAGAAAATAGTAGAAAGACAGTTGCAGTGAAGAAAATTTTCTTTTCGACTAAATCATCAACTAGGCTGTAGTACATTCGTGTATTTATAGAGTAAATGGGTGAGAAGGCTCCTGAAGTATTTCCGGTCAAGGGTAAAATTAATAAAATCACAAAGTGTACTAAACAGGAAGATGAGATAAAAAGACATAGAAGGATCATATTTATTGAGAAACTTAACGTATTATTAATGTGGCGAGTGCTACTGATAAGATTTATCAATAGTATATAAAGAGACGTTCATCGGCATAGAACATCAAATAGCATGAAGATACACTTGATGTCAAAGAAAGCAAATGATACAACGTTGTGAGAATACATGGGAGACGAGAAAAGAACACAAAGAAACACAATATGAAGTCTAGAAGTACCACAACACGAAGATCTTTCCTCTTCTACCGCTTCAATAAGAAAATGAGCAGTAAGTTTGGATAAAAAACATGGTAATGCAGATAGTAGGAATTTAAAAAACATGAAAATAACGGAAGATTAGATAAGAAAGGTAATAGGATAATCATTATTGAGAGGAATGACTTTTTCTGGAGGTCATGGTAGGGACAATGATTGGACGCAGTTCTCTTGAACGCATAACATGGGCTTGAACTTTTGGATCGCTAGTGCCTCAGCTACCTTCAGTTGCCTTGATGGGCTGGATCGGACCTTGTATAGGACTTTGAAGGACATTTCAAATAGATCTGAGTTTCCTGAGTCCATTAACGAGCCATATACATACCTATGCTCTCCCTTTATATGTATCTGTGGTAGCAGCTACATTGGGAGAACAGAAAGAATGGCACACCTCCGATTTTATGGACATGTACCAAAATGCCTAGGTTTTAAGGTGACAAACAGTTTCAAGCATGCCACTGTCAGGCATCCCCTTCACACGGATCATGAGGTGGACATCGCAATAGACAAAAGAACTCAATTCTACTCAAATTTGTCGAAGCAATCTCCGTCAGACGCCTAAAACCTGATTTAGGTGTTTAGAAAGAAGCAGTTGTCAGTCTTTCCTTTCTCTGGCAACTAACAGGATGTCTTTATTCTCTCTTTCATTTGATAACGTAACTCTGAAAATCCCATTCTGTATGATTATCATTGTTTGGAATAAAGCGATTATTATTATTATTATTACCACTGTATGCATACATTGATGTTTTTGTTTAAACTTGAACTCTCTGGGTAAGTACATAAACTTCAGAATATCTTTAGACTGTAAGCATCTGATAAGAAGCCAACAAAATAACCAATGATGGTGGCATTTTATTCTCCACATATCAATGTTGTTTTAGCTCTATTCAAATTCATAAAGGAGAATAAATGTATGAAATTTTGTTTTGTTTTTTATTTGGCTGATGAAAAGTAAACCAGCTTTTGTAAATCTGTGAGGACTAACAGTAAAACTAACTAACTAACATCAGAAGGTGAAATGGCAAAAGGAACTTTTCATCACTGTAGACACTGAGAATTCAATAAAAATTTGAACGTTAAGCAAAATTTCTACAAATAATAATCACACAAACTATCATCATCAGCAACAGCAGCAGCATCACTCACTCACTCACTCACTTGTATGAAGTGCTCTGTAATGTCTATCCAAGTCTGACTTATATGTGAACCGTTCATCACATTCTCCACATTTCATTCCGATATCTAAAACAGAAGTAAGAAGTTAAAATGATGCATAAAAACAGACAGAAAAAATTTCACTTGTCATTAAATATGCATAGTGGTTAGGATGCTCGCCGACCATGCACATGGTTCGGGGTTCGATCCCCAGCCGACGCACTCCTTTACCTCGCTAAGCCAGAAATAATGCTGGTGAAGAGGAAAGGTTGGGCATGAGGCTAGCAACCCCATCCTGTAAAATAAGCACTGCTACAGAAACTTCAAGTCACTAGCTTGAAGCCTTATGTTCCACTGGGGAACGTGAAGGAAATAAAAAAAGAAAATTAAATATGCACAGGAACATTTACCTCCCCGCACCCCTAACATCTCTTCGCTTTGGCTATGATACTACCAACCACCTACAATTAACAAATATGAGTGTAAGAGCAACCAGTTCAGAGAAAAGTCTCTTTTCGCCGGTGAATTCATTCACTTAGCTGTACAATCGCAATGATGCATAATTATTTTTGGTTTGTATGTGTGTGATGAATAATCAAATTATAACTATGGCGAGAGTAGGGGAGAGGTGAAGTTTGGTAAGTCTTGACTAGGATTACATAATACAAAAGACGTCCAATTTGCTTGTTTATGTGGAGCAAGATATATGTCAATCGATGCATGTTTACTCTAAAAGAGTGAAAGGACATTACCCGCATGACTACGAATAGGTAACAGTTGATCAATAAGGATTACTATAATTGAACATATAATCAACACTGGTCACTCAATACACAGTTTGTGAAGTTGCATCAATGACCAATGTTAGCTGACTGATATAGGATGGATCAGGCTGGAGAGGAGCTAGCACGTGGTGGTCAAACCAAAAAATGTCTTCATCAGTCAATGAAATCCATTACAGTTTATTTAAGCCGACCACGTCGAGAGGTTGGGGTCCTCTAGATTCCAATAACCAATGGATGGAGACAATTGTAGTTAATATGGCTCGAAATGGTTCTCAGTGATATCTGGAGCAGTTCCATCTTAGAACATCTGATAGAATCCGGACACCAAGCTACACCGCAAACAAACTTCAAAGTCGTCTACAGAGTAAGAGGTGGTCTCCCTAAAGGTGTACGAATCAGACTTCTTCAAACTGCAGAAGCAATGGCGATTCACTTGCTAAGTCCTGAACTCTGCATACAGAAGAAGTTCGTTCAATCGTTACACTTGCAATGGACGTAATCTATCTTATTAGCAGACATGTAAATTCTACCTAATCTTTTTTTTCTTTCTGTCTCTTCATTAGTATTACTTTGTCTTCTCAATTGTAACATTTTACATTCTCAACTTTCTTGTTCTCTACCCCCACCCGATTCAATCTCTACACCCCACTACCACTGTTACTGACTTGAACAACGCTCAGTTTCTAGTCATTCATGTTACGTCATCCAACTTATTCACTCAATTTCACTTCTACTTAATCTCTACCTGTAATTACCTCTGTTGCTATCCTGACCTAAGTTGTAACATTTTAGCCAATTATATTACGTCATCTAGTTTTTTAACTCAGTCTTACTTTAGTTGCTGTCTGATTAACTTTGTCATTCTTGTATTAACTAATCAATTATCTAAACTTGACAAACCTCATGTACACACACACACACAAATATTTATATATAAATGCGATTGTACAGCTATGTGAATGAATTCGCCGAAAAGAGTCTCTTCGCTGAATGTCTTCTCTTTTTCATATCTGGAGCAGACGTATTCACTCTGTGATTTGTCATATCCAATAAAACTCAATTGTTCTTCCATGTAACCATTCTTTTTTGCTTCATTCCCACTTCTGTTGATTATCTCTCTTTATTCTCTTCTCTTGCTTTGTGTGGTACATCAAGAGTAGCAACTCAAGCTGCTGCACAAGTGTGCAAAGTTCTTTGTTGAATTCAATCAATTAGAGAATGAATTAACCAGACGTTTGAAGAAACTAAGGGAGGAGCAGATAATTTCTGAAAGTTTATTTGAAGAAATCAGACCAACGGGCACGTATTTGCCAAGATTGTATGGCCTACCCAAAGTGCATGAACCAGGGGTATCGTTAAGACCAATACTTGATATGCAAAATTCGCCCTACCATGGTCTAGCTAGATGGTTAGTAAATATTCTCAAACCATTGCATGAGAAGATAGTGAAATATAGCGTCAAAGATGTATTTGAATTCGTAGACAAAATAAAAGACATTAATATCAAGGATAAAGCCATGATATCTCTGGACATAACATCGTTATTCACAAAAGTACCTCTTATAGAAACAGTTAATTATATATGTGAACAAGTGGACAAGCAGTCGATAAACATTGGAATCCATATTGAAATCCTAAAAGAATTGATATTAAGATGTACTATGAATGTAAACTTCAAATTTGACGGCACGCTTTACAGGCAAGTGGACGGGGTGGCAACGGGCTCCCCATTAGGTCCTATTCTGGCTGATTTCTTTCTAAGTAAGCTAGAAAATGGACCTCTGAACAACCTTATCAGTAATCTCTCATTTTATTGCCGATATATGGATGACACCTTTATTCTTTGTGATAATGGTTCCGATAAGAGTACAATAATTACTGAATTCAGTGAAGTACATCCGGCTATGAAATTCACATGCGAGGAGGAATCCCAAGAAAGAATTGCCTTCCTCGATGTCCTACTTACAAGAAAACCAGACGGAAGCATAAAAAGAAATTTACATAGAAAAAGTACTTGGACGGGACAATATACACACTTTCATAGCTTCGTTCCCATCAAATACAAAAGGAATTTAGTGAAGACCCTTAGCCACAGAGTTAGAGCTATATGCTGTGAAGAAGTAATTGAAGATGAATTAAACATTGTATATGATACTTTAATTGAAAATGGTTATCCTGACAAGTTTATCAAGAAACATATGACGAAGAAGGCCGAAAAGGACGTCCCACTATCTGTAAACAAGAAGCCCCTTTATATACGACTACAATTCAAGGGCGATAAACCAAGTGAGTTAATTACAAAGAAATTAAGTAAAGCAGTTCAAAGGACTTTTAATGCTGGCGAACTACACATATTATTCTCTACAAGACCGATGGTGCAACCTCGACTGAAAGATGAAGTACCTAGACTGGCCACTTCAAATTGTATTTATCAATTCAACTGCGCTTGTGGAGCGAGTTATGTTGGCCGTTGCTCTAGGAACTTGATTTTTCGTGCTCGAGAACATATCCCATTATGGCTAAGTAAAGGTGTAGTTAAAACTATCAACAGCTCGATATTAGACCATCTGGTGCAAACTGGTCACAAAGCCAGCGTAGACGAATCCTTCTCCATAATATACCGGGTGCCTAACAAACTACCAAAATCGTCGAAGCACCGCTTACTACAAACAACAGAGGCTATTGCAATTCGCCTCAAAAAATCAGTGCTCTGTGTCCAAAAGAAACAAGTCCAGCCCCTACTACTGCCCTGGCCGGCCCTCAGTAGAGACTATAAACTCATGAATTTGTACTATTACCTTTCCTACATCTTCTGACATTCAGTTTATTTGACGTTGATGCTGTTCAGCTGTAATTTATCAATATTATTGATTTGATGTTATTTAAACATTAATGTCGTTCATAAGACTAATTCATTCATTCATTATAATGTATATATAATTGTAGAACCTGATGATGAATTTATCGAAAAGAGTCCTCTTTGTTCAGTGTCTATTCTTTTGAAAATTTTAATGGGCATTTTTAATCAATTAGAATTAGGTGAAACCAAATACACACTTTGGAAACGTACGCTGAAAGCAGCCGAACGCTTTAACTAATCAACCACATTAACTCAGCAATAACAATATTAAGAGTGAAACAAAAAATGAAAACTATGGTAAAAACAACAAATCACATAATGAAGTTGAAAAAAACTAAAGAAATCAACATCTTCACCTACCTTCATGAAATTTTCGATGTATTTGAAGTCCTTTATATGTTTGCAATTTCTTATGGCAGGTTACGCATTCGTAGGCTTTACCTTTTGAGTAAATGCAATAAACACAGTATATCAAGAAGTATTACGTTATACAGCAATCAAAACAATTTCATGCATACTCCAAGTAAACTTGAACATAGGAAAATGCCTCGCCTACTCTCTAACCCCCAAAAATATCCCCCAAAGAAGGCAGGCAGTGGGCTGATAACATCGTAACAGGAGGTAATAATTATTTATGTATTTAAAACACAATACCTTTTGCTACATAGGCATCAAGGCTGGCTGGATTCAACATAGAACTTGCACCGAAGTGCAGCAGTTCGAGTTGCCACGTTCCAAATAGCACACAAAGGTAGACAAGAATATAAGTGAAGAGAATCAATAGAGTTTTGACAAGTATAAGAGTGAAACAGAATGAATGAGTAATGGTAGAAAGGAATATGAAAGATTACAGAAACTGAATACATCTGCGTAAGCCATTGACAACGATTTTGAGCCATGTCACCTATTGTCTCCAGCCATTGATTCTTAGAGTCCCGAGGGCCCCAACCCGGAAGTCTGCATCTCCCTCCCTACCTGACTCAGTTTAACTGTCAAGGATTTCATGGATTGATGAGGCCATGTTTTTGTTTGGCCACCACTTACTCTTTTCCAACCTGCACCTATATCAGCTAGTAATGCCCGTCAGGGGAGGCGATGGCTAGGCATGCGCAGCACGTGACCTAACCATCTCAATCTATGTAACTTTATAGCCTCTTCGATTGACTTTCCCTCTTTGCCCAAGACTCTACGCCTAGCGTCAACATTACTTACCTTATGATGCCACCTAACCTGAGAAAGAGATTATAGACATCTATGATCAAAAAAGTCAACCTTTTCATGTCTTCAACTCGTTTTGGCCACGTTTCAGAGCCAAAGAGAAGGATGGAGCGAACTGCTGAGCAGTACACACGTCCCTTGGTTGATAGCCAGATGTCACGCCTACGCCAGAGACGGTGTAAGTTAGCGAAAGCAGCCCGAGCTTTCTGGATCCGTGCTGAGATTTCGTCACCAATCAATCCATTGGTGCTGAAACAACTTCCCAAATGGGTGAAGTGATCAACATGTTCTATCACTTCACTCCCTATCACTAAGCTAGGGGTAGACGTAGTCCAGTCCTGTAGCAGCATCTTACATTTTACAGGGGCGAATCGCATGCCAAACATACGAAGATTGCTGCTCAAGGTGTTCAGAAGACTCTGCATTTTGTCAGCGTCCTCCCCTAACAGGACAATGTCATCTGCATATTCTAAGTCCATAAGACTATTCCCTGGTAACAAGTCGATTCCTAAGTCGTTAAGTTCAGTTAAGGATACTTCCATTAGCATATATATGATGAAGTTAAACAGAAAAGGGGAAAGTGGACATCCTTGACGGACACCACTGGTTGTTATCAATTCAGATGAAAATTCCCCATAAGCCCTTACATGGCTACATGAGTTTGAGTACAGTGCCTTGATTAGTGCAATGTACTTTCTTGGCACTCCCTTCACAGTCAAACATTGCCATAGTACCTCTCGATCCACGGAGTCGAAGGCCGCCTTCAAATCAAGAAATATGGCAATTGTTGGACGCATAGGCATCAAGATGAGCCATACAGTAACAACAAAACAACAACACACTTAAAAAATAGGTAGAGATTGAATAAAGGAGTTTTTCCCGAGAGGACGCAGTTTATAATTAACAAGACCAAATAGCATTCGTCGAATTATTGTTAGAAAGCGGAGAAACAAGGAAATTGTAGCAATTTCACCGTTGATGGTTGCGATTTTTGGCCACATTCGATAAAGTTTTGAGCACTCGATTCCAACTGTCTCTCGGACCCTAAACAGGGAATCGTGATGTACCAACCGATGCTAACCCATCACAAATATCTTCTCTCCCACAACCGCACGTCATGGGCTGATGACCTCTCCGCTTTTCCCATCCCGTCCCAGGGCTAGCGAACAGAGACCGGTACGGAAGCCTCTGGGATGACATTCATAGAACATGCCCAAGTCATCGGAGCCGGTGCCACCAGATTACGACGATCAACGAATGGTGATGTCTCCTGTGAGCGAATACATACTGTCGGACCTCCAAATTACCCATACGATGATGCCATCGGACCCAAGCAATTCCACGGAGACAGAGATGGTCAAATACACAGAGTTGCCACACATTCTCAGCTCGGAGGGGCAAGGTAGATAGTGCGCACCAAGGCGTTGCAAATCCAACCTTTCACAGTCAGGCTAACGTCGCGACAGCGCCAGAGGTGACTCAAATTATCATATGCCACTCTAACTTTCATGACACGGTTGGAAATCTCGACAGTAACATTGCTGCCAGCACCCACACAACTACCCAGATACATGGACTTATTGACAAATTCAAGCGCTCCACCTGCGAGAGTGAGTGCAGGTGCAGGCTCCTGTAAATCTTGTGACAGGACTATGCAATTAAGTGGCGCAAAGGACATAGCATACTTACAGACGCTGACCGCCAACTGATCAAGTGCGATTTGGGCAGCCCGCGTGCTATCGCACAGTGAGACGATATCATCTATATTCTTGAAGCCGCAAAATCTTCAAGAAACAGATCTAAGCCATCACCATCCAGGTCTTTTAGAGCAACCTCCAGAATGTTATAAACCTCACCCATGAAAACTAAAAACACACGAGAAAGCCATTGGGGTTTGTCTTCTTATCATAACATTGAATTTATCCGTCTCTAACGTGACTGAATATTTAGTAAACTTTGAAGTGATTTTGTAGTTTGCTGTGAAGCAAAACGGTATAGTACAAAGAAACAATTGTTCATTGTGTTTTCAAAAACTAACCTTCATGTTTAACACGAATGTGTTCCTTCAGATGACTTTTCTTTGCAAAATCTTTGTCACATTGTCGACAATAGACTCTTTCTAAAAATTAAAAATAAAATAAGACGATACAAACACTCCTAAAACTTTTCAAATATTTCATGAGTCATATAAATTAGTCATTACAATGACAACTGTTGTTTTAGACCTATTCTTCTCATAGTTAGCAGATAGGAAACCACCTCAATACACAATCGAATAAAGAAAAGGTGTGAAATTTGGATGAGATATTCAACAGGCTGTTGACAGAAACATTCAATTACGCGAAAACTATGCGTGCACGGGACTACAAGTTCTACCCTCATACTGAATTCCTATCAGCTACAAACTAGACCTCATATTTTGCGTTTTTATTAACACAGTTTGAATACATCGAAAGAGGCTAGTGAAAATACAATGGATAGACTAACACAATTGGGTGAGCTTAGAAACTCCACTGTTTTTAGAGTAACTATAAACAACACATAAATACAGTAGACAAAGTGGTTAGTATTTTTAGGTCATTTTAAATGATTTTGATTGTATGTCCTTGGAACATATTGGAAGGCGCCAGTGGCTCAGCCATAAAATAATCGCCAATAATACACTCCATAACTTCACTTGACAGACTCACTTCAACATAGAACTTTGCAGATATGTTCAGGAGTTCGACATGCGACTCTCCATATACCATATAAATCAAGAGAAGAGCATAAAGACAGATAATAAACAGAATTGTGAGTGAGAGTAAAAGAATAGTAATGCATGTGTAGAACCTGGGCATTGTGGTAGCATCTAATTCCGTTTTACATCAGTTTATTTTAAATATCACACAGTGATTCAGTATGAACAACTGGATGACGTTGCGATCACAAATTATTGCTCACAATCATATCAGTTTTAGTCACACAGTTTCAAAATTTGTCACATAAATATTTTTTCTATTTTTCTCTCTCTCCAAATTTCCTTTGCTGTTTGTTGCCATTTTCCATATCTCATTCTGATTGTACGTGTGCTGTGTTGAATCGATGAACAAAGCTTCAGTTATTAACCTCTCTCACACTCCACCTAACTGCATTACTTTTTAATTCTCTCGCCCTTCCCCACTCACCCTGTTTTGTGATTACATGCAAGTGAATGCAGTGCAATGGCTGAGGTCTGTTTTTTTTCCAGGTTATTGAACTTATCAGGTTCAACTATTCTAGGTCAAGCTAACTTTTTATATTCCACTAATCTAACTGACCCTGACAAGTGAAATATACAAAACCTCTGCGGAACAAGTCAGAGCACAATGTAGTTTGATACTAAAACATCACAAGAAAGGAAAAAGCAACTTATCACAAAACGAAATAGCAGCTCTAAATGCTTGAGAAACGAAAAAAACATAGTGATCGCTAAATCGGACAAGGATAATACAACAGCAACAACAACACTCAGCACCTAACTTCAATATTTATCACCCTATTCTACCACCTAAACTAACATTGGAGATAGAATGTAGACATCTATGGTCAGAGACATCTAGTCTTTGCATGCCTTCCACTTTCAGTGTCTTTGTCTCAGAGTGATAGAGGAGGACGGAGCGAAATGGTGAGCGCCTCACTTAGGTGGCATTAAGCGCGGAAAAGGGGAGAGGTTGGGGGCATGAGATTAACAACCCTATCTATTATAAAGGAAACAATACTGTGCTGTTGAAACATCAAAGCTGAAGCTTGAAACTCCATATTCTACTGGGAATGCAAAGCAATAAAATTTTTGGAAAACAATAATAGAGCATATTGAATGCATAATCAACACGCCTATAAACAGAGTCTTACTTCTTGTATCTCCCACAGACTTTTCCACTTGGCTTTTTTCTTCTGCCTCAGTTGGACATTCGTGGTTTTCTTTTTCGGCCTCAGATGGACATTCGGGGATTTCCTCTTCTGCCTCAGTTGGACATTTGCGCTTTTTCACATTAACTGGAATATACAAAAAGTTTCAAGAGATTAACGTATTTCTTTTGGATACAAAGAGTGGGTTTGAGTTAGCTATCCAAAAACTCAAACCCACTCTTTGTATCCAAAAGAAATACGCCCAACCCCTGTCCCTGCCATGGCCATCATAAACAGGTAAATTTTTTAATAATGACCATCCCATCGCCTTTCGTATCTAAACTTCCTGTTTATTCAATTTTTTTAAAGTTTTCTTAATCCCTGTCTACACTACCATACTTTCATATCCACACTTCCTGTTTATTTTGTCATTTTACTATTTCTACATATTTAATCCCTGATTGCATAAACAATTATTCATCACACTCGTTTTTTATCCAAACATCCTGTATATTTTGTTATTTTTACATTTCTAACCCCCAATTGCACAATGTCAATCTTCTTAGTTATTATGCTACTTTGTTTGAGTTTCACCCATCCCCCTGTTTATTATGGCATTCAAATTCCTAATTGTAACTTTTAGTAATTTGACCCCTAACCAGAAATTATTCTGGAACTTTCCCATCCATTTGATATATATACACGAATGTACAGCCTAGATGATGAATTCGTCGAAAAGAAAATTTTCTTCGCTCCAACTGTCTGTTTATCTCCAAATTTCCTTTGCTGTTTGTTGCCATTTTCCATATCTCATTCTGATTGTACGTGTGCTGTGTTGAATCGATAAACAAAGCTTCAGTTATTAACCTCTCTCACACTCCACCTAACTACATTACTTTTTAATTCTCTCGCCCTTCCCCACTCACCCTGTTCTGTGATTACATGCAAGTGAATGCAGTGCAATGGCTGAGGTCTGTTTTTTTTCCAGGTTATTGAACTTATCAGGGTCAATTATTCTAGGTCAAGCTAACTTTTTATATTCCAATAATCTAACTGACCCTGACCTACTAGTTTGACCTATGATGTAATTGATCTCAGTTATAATCATTATTTAGTACTTGGTTGATTATCTTATTTTTCTTAATTGGATCTATTGGGTTCACAAGCCGACAAAGTTTATCTCTGAGCGAATTAGTTGGTTGGTTGCTTTAAATGTCACCTCGACTCATTCTAGCCTCATTGAGAATCCTACATAAGGCCTCTGACGTTCCTTCTTCATACAGTAGTGCTACAAAGGCTTTCAGTTCTATATTATTGTTGTCACTTTTATCGTTGATCTTAGTTTTTGCAACGTTTCAGCAACTAAAATATTCCCATTGAGTCATATAAAAGAAAAGACCTTCAGCAAAGAGTTACCCTTTTCGCAGATAACATTCTCATGCTGTACAGTCGCATATATATTTTTTTTCCTTCACGCTCCCCAGTGGAACATAGGGCTTCAAGCTAGTGGCTTGAAGTATCTGTAGCATTATTTATTTTACAGGATAACGTTGTTAGCCTCATGCCGAACCTTTCCTCTTTACCAGCATTATTTCTGGTTCAGCGAGGTAAAGGAGTGCGTCGGCGGGGAATCGAACACCGGACAATGTGCATGGTCGGCGAGCGTCCTAACCGATATACCACCGACGCATATATATATTTAGATCATAATCTTAGCAACAAAATGAATATTTCAAGAATTCGTCACTAGAAATGTAAATTTTGGTTAACAAATTACATAATGTAAAAAGCGTTAATCGGCTAGAAACTTAAGTATAATTATTAGAATTGTAGGTTTCAGATAACAAATTTCGTTAATGGGTTAGAAACTAAATTAGGATTAAATGAGCAAGTTGAATGATGTTATCTAGTTGACGGGGTTGAGTAGAGCTCAGCTAAAATTAAAACTGAACTAAAGTCAAGTTTACAACAGTGGTAATAAGGAGTAGAGATTTAATAAGGGGTGGGGGAAAATATTATACAATTAAGAAACAAACAGGCAAGAAAAAGACGAAAAGCGTTACGCATTTGGTGTTAAGATAGGTCGAGTTCACTGTAGATTTAATGACTGAACAAACTTCTTTTGTATTCAGTGTTCAGGTTTTAATATGTGGATTGCCATTGCTTCTGTGGTTTGAAGAAGTCTGATTCGTACTCTGTTGGCAAGATTCTGGCGTATTTCTTAGATGGCTTTGAAGTTATTTTGCGGGTTTGCTTGGTGCTCCGATTCGATCAGGTGTTCCAGAATAGAGCTTTGGGGAGACTTCTTTACTTCTTTTCGAAACCATGAGGGTAAGTGTTCGGTGATACGTTTGGATAGCAGACGCTGGGTACGGCCGACATACCTAGCTACACACGAGTAGGTGAATTGGTAGATTCGTATTGATGATACCGAAGTTAATGCGAACCACTGGTTTCGTGAAGAAGGTTAGTCGGAGTTCAGCCGCGAAGGGTTTCCTCAGTGAGCTGGACGGGCGGTTTCTCAGTATTTTTGCTGATAAATCTCCATTGAATTGTAGATTTGTCTTTTTCTTGCTTGTTTGTCTCTTAATTGTATAATATTTTTCGCCCACCCCTTATTAAATCTCTACTCCTTATTACAACTGTTGTGAACTTGACTTTAGTTCAGTTTTAATTTTAGCTGAGCTCTACTCAACCCCGTCAATTACATTACGTCATTCAACTTGCTCATTTAATCCTAATTTAGTTTCTAACACATTAACGAAATTTTTTATCTGAAACCTACAATTCTAATAATCATACTTACGTTTCTACCCGATTAACCCTTCCTACATTATGTAATTTGTTAACTAAAATTTACAATTCTAGTGACAAATTCTTGAAATGTTCATTTTGTTTCTAAGAAAATGAACTATATATATGCGGCTGTACAGCATGAGAATGATATCTCCGAAAAGAGTAATTCTTCGCTGAACGTCTGTTGTTTTATAATATGAGTTTTTCCATATCTCTTCATATATATTTTCGAATTAATTCTGGTGGGTAGTTATCCCTCAGTAATACTTCCTTTATTCGTTTGATTTCACTATTTAAATCTTCTGACTTACTAGTTCAGCTCTTGACCCGATTATACAGACAAACTAAACCTATCCTCGTTAACCGTTTCTGCATGGGATGAAGCAAAGTCTAAGTATTTATTAGAGTGTGTGTCAATTTCGTATAAATGCCAGCTAGTATCTAACCCACCATCTTGTTTTCGTTCTACCCTGTTCATTTTCCAGCTGAGAAGTGAATTGGATTCCGTCTGTTATTGAGTTTATATGTGTGAAAAAATGAGGGATATGTTCACCTTTCAACACAGTGATGAAATGTGTTATCCACATACCTCCACCATAATCAAGCAGCAGGATTAAACGTGGCTGTCAACAGATTAAAATCTGAAGACGTTATTCCCCGTATAGAAAGAGCGATAAGTGAAATATACAAGACCTCTGCGGAACAAGTCAGAGCAAAATGTAGTGTGACACTAAATTATCAGAAGAAAGGAAAAAGCAACTTATCACAAAACGAAATAGCAGCTCAAATGCTTGAGAAACGACAAAAACATAGTGATCGCTAAATCGGACAAGGATAATACAACAGCGGTCATGGACAAATCAGATTACATAAACAAGGTCAGTCAACATATTAAAACAGGACCATATGAGGAAGTTAAAAAACTTGTGGACAAGATTATCAATAAAATCAAAAATCCTGCTATGTGATCTAGTACTAACTGAATGATTTTTTTTCCATATAAAACTTTACGCATATGTGCAGCAGTTCAGTTGCCACACTCCCTCCTTGTACCACACAAAGCGAGAGAAGAGAAAGTTTCAAAGCAGAGATAATAAACAGAGCTACGAGGCAAAAGAATAGTAATATGGAAGAACAATTGAGTTTTATTGGATGACAAATCACAAATAGTGAATACATCTGCACCAGATATCACTGAGAACCATTTCGAGCCATATCACCAACAATTTTCTCCAGCCATTGGTTATCGGGATCTAGAGAACCCCAACTGGTCAGTCAGGAAGTTTACACCTCCATACGTGGCCGGCTTACACAAACTGTAGTGGATTTCACTGACTGATGAAGACATGTTTTGGTTTGACCACCATGTGCTAGCTCCTCTCCAGCCTGACCCATCCTATATCAGTCAGCTAACATTGGTCATCGATGCAACTTCACAGCCTTGTTGATTGATTTCCCTTTCTTGTCTAACACTCAGCGCCTAACTTCAATAATGCTCACCCTATTCTACCACCTAAACTAACATTGGAGATAGAATGTAGACACCTATGGTCAGAGACAGCTAGTCTTTGCATGCCTTCCACTTTCAGTGTCTTTGTCTCAGAGTGATAGAGGAGGACGGAGCGAAATGGTGGGCACCTCACTTAGGTGGCATTAAGCGCGGAAAAGGGGAGAGGTTGGTGGCATGAGATTAACAACCCTATCTATTATAAAGGAAACACTACTGTGCTGTTGAAACGTCAAAGCTGAAGCTTGAAACTCGATATTCTACGGGGAATGCAAAGCAATAAAATTTTTGAAAAACAATAATAAATCATATTGAATGCATAATCAACACGTCTATAAACAGAGTCTTACTTCTTGTATCTTCCACAGACTTTTCCACTTGGTTCTTTTCTTCTGCCTCAGTTGGACATTCGGGGTTTTCTTTTTCTGGCTCAGTTGAACATTCCGGCTTCAGCACATTAACTGAAATATACAAAAAGTTTCAAGAGATTAACATTTTACATCTAAATAACACTTGACATAAGCTGATATCATTCGACAATCATAGTTATACCAGATCGATATAGTTGGGCTGCTCACTGTTCAAGATGCAAGCAACCTACTTAAATGTATTTGAGTTCGTGCTCTTTCACTTCCAAAGCTACAAAATGTCAAAAACCGATACATACTTACAATTTGGAGAATTTACACGTATATATGTATGAACTGCTTCTACTCGACTTATGTATTAACATGATAGCATTAAGCAATGATGGATGGTAATGTAGAACACATCAAAAAAATAGATATTCTGGTTCCCGAATAAACCAAGACCGGTAGGAAGCCACAAGGGAAGATACATTACCGACACAGAAACTTCAGGAGACAATCTCACGCCACTAATGTAGGTGCTGGATGAAGTAATTAAATCTGATAGCGATTGGAATAATGGCTACCATGTGAAACTGCGTTAAAGTGTGATACAAGCCCATTCAAGAACAGGTGTGAAATCATGCTACTATCTACCTCAGACAAAGTATCAAACTACATCATACTGGAAAGACTGAAAGGTGTCAAGTATGGAAGGCCTCCAAAGCCTCAGGATGGTCGGGGGTGGGTGCCTTGCACTGCGGGTTGGCCACCCCTCCGCACACCTCTTGAAATGCTCCCATATGACCAGGCGTCTTACATAGCCTCTCCTGAGGAAGTCCTACTCACTGCCTTCACGTGGCGGAGGTGTTTTTCACCAAAGTGAGAGGGCGAAAGCGGATGCCCGGCGCTCTTCACCGGGTTGACTGTCCATTGGATGACAGTCTAGGGGAGATGGCTAAACCCTGATTCCAAACCTCCAACGACTGGCGTATGAAGCTCACTGCAGCTCACCAGCAGACGTATGGACAAAGGGCTTGTTGGATGTCCTAGATGTCTGGTCCCATTCAAAAAGGCGTATGAACCGAACTCCGGTCACCGGCTGCCAATGGATAGTGGACTCCCTACTCCACTCCTACTGCCTTGTAGGTCACACTTGGTTGTGTAAAGGCTAGAGCTGCACTCTCAAACAAAAGGCCGAGCGATTCTGGGGACATCACTCGTACCAAATTCCCATGAAACTTCATGAACTGTCTTCATCAGATCGCCGCGCCTGGGCAGCGATGATTCGAGATGTTCATGAAGCCGGCTCATCCTCCCGTAGGAGATAGCCGAAGTAAAGTAAAAGTAAGTATGGAAGGCTTCACAGGGAATAGACCGAATTCAGGAAGGAAAACTCCATGTGCGGACTAAATTGCAACACTACGCATCATTATCAAACACTGTTCAGATTCACAGACAACTCTTCACATTAACCTCATTGATATGGTTCGGAAACTACCTCAACATTACAGAGTACCACAAATGTCTATAAACCTTATTCAGTTACTATTATGACGATGACAAAAGTCAAATAATTCACAACGTAAAGACAACCGGAGAGAATCTGTAGTGAAAACAGAAGTAAGACAAGGCCACTCTCTATCACCCATCATCGTCTTGATTGTGCTCGACTGGGTCATACAACAGACAATGGAGAGTGGAAGAAAAGAATTGGGCACACTCCGAGAAAACTTCTTGTAACATGAAACTTCAGGTCCTTTAATATAGCCCAAATAGGTAGCAACAAGTTGGCCGACCGTAGGTAACATGAAGATCATGTGAAGAAGTAAAAGGCTGAGTTATCACAGAATCAAGCGAAAATAATAACAGAGAACCGACTTAGATGCTGGTGTGATACAAAAGCTTCGTGTTTCTCTCAGAGTAAGAAATGAATAATAACACCAATAATATGTTTGATCTATATCATATACAAATTTAGCACACCTTAAAACAGAATTACCTGTTCCAACCTCAAACTGACACTCTTCTTGTTTTACTGAGTTCCTTGGCCTTTTCGGCATTAGTATATGAACTGGAAAATACAAAACGTTTTACAAAATCAAATAACATCGGCCATGAGCTGGTGTCTTCTAACACATATCTTAACCAGGCCAATCAAGTTCTGGAATCGATATATTTCAGCATCATGAGCTGCTGTGCAAGAAACAGATCATCATCTATCATAATCTGTCAGCGTGCAAAGTTAACTTTCAAAGCCACAATATATCCAAATGGATGGACACTTGAAATTCGGAGTGATATATATATATATATACCTATATATACATATATATATACTGACGACTTTTGGAATTAGACGCAGACTTAATACTAACCACTGTTCTACTTATTCAAAAAACGAGCTTGAGAATCGATTAGTTAATGGATGTGGTGACGCATTAGGGTACAAATTGGTTTCCTGCTATTCCTTATAAGTAAACAACACTGCAGGATGTTCGGCCTACCCTTCTATTATTTTCACGCCAACCTAAAAATCATTTAGTAGTCTCCTGATTTTTTCATTACTCTGCCATTCACAGAATCTTCGGTGTTCCCTAAAACACTTACCAGTTAATAACTTGCCCTTTTATTGCTTCTCCGTAAAACAAAATCTGATTTTAAGTGATACACATTCCTAGAGTACTTGCGGACGCTTTATCTATGTTATCAACATTATCTCAAGAATTAAACGAAGATGAAGTGATAAAATGACACAAAATAAGAGCTGAGCAAATGTGTGGTACTGTTTGAAAGTGTCATATGGATGGGTTTGCAACATATATTGTGGCTCAATTGACTCTGCAAATAAACGACGTGTCAGATCAGCCTTAAACACAGTCTAGGTCTATGGGTCAATGCATTAAGTTGACGACACAAATAATAAGCGCCGCTTGAACGTTACATATAATATCCTTAGGAGTAAGGGTTCACTTGAACAAACCCACGAATGACCTTGGTGCCCCCAGATAAGCGTCCTTATTATAAGTGCCATCTATAAAAACCCCAACAAAAACATAAACAACTACGTTTCACCTGACTCCATCCCCGTGTCTCTGGGTCGAACCTACTTCCATGCACCAGATCCTGACTCTACAAGATGGTTACTTTGAAGAATATTGAGACTCCATGCATCCTTGCAACATTTAAAACATTTGCAACAGCATCCACTTTCTTATTTCAATACTCCAAACACTTTTTGTACGAATGTACCACATTTCACAAGAATTAGTCTTGTCCACAATAGTTGGCTGCCTCTAAACTATTCGTGCATTCAAAGTTTATTCAGGAATTATGTACCAATGACACCATGTAAAATCGTAAATAACTCGCCAGACTGGTTAACTGAGTGGGAACACAGGTGCAGCTGTGGGCGCGAATACTCAAACTAGCCACGTTGAAATTGAATTCGTACGAAGTTCAAAAAAGAGATAAACAAACATTTCCTTCAAATAAGAATAATAAAACCTTTTTACTACAACGAAATGTAATTTTCATTTATTAATGGTAAACAAAATCAGAATTTTATTAGCCAAAAAGCCACCTCAGGAACTCACGTGCAACTCTGACTTAACGAACCAATATAAGAGTGCTCGAGGTTTGAAGTGCCCAGTATTTTACGGAGCTTTCAGTAAAACTTTGAGTTCAGATTTGTTCATAATGCAATAAATCTGAAGAAGCTATCAACACAATAAAGTCGACAGGTTATCATGCAATTTCGGGTTAAATTTCAGATATGAAACCTTAACTTTGTTCCTCACTTTCTGCTTTTCATTCCATAGTATCCTTCATACTTGATGAGAACATATTTGATCACCAGTTAACTTTGGACTCATAAATGGTGAGATTTCAAAACATCAGTAGCCTGCAGCTCTATTAGATCTCAACATCAGGCACCAATTTCCCTGTTTAGTTAGACAGGATGGGTTGAGGGTACACAGTAAGGCATCCATGCCATCTGAAAGGTTTACTTGTTCGTGTATGAACCTCAGTTAATCGAGCACTCATCTTTGCTAAATAAAATGACATACAAGCACCATAAATATTGTCGTATGAACCATCCCATATCACTATATCCCACAATTTGCATCATAAGTGAATGCAACAGTCACTTTTCTCTTGTTCTATATTTAAAACTAATATTACCCTCTTCTTGGATCTTCTGGTTATACTTAATGACTGAACTAGATGTATATAAACGTTTGTAGGGGATCAAAGAAGTTCGTCAACTCAGCTGAACCTCCACCTATTAATCTGTCAGTCCGTGCGGCCTGAAACACATGGTAGTCAAGATAATTTTCAAGGGACAAGAGCTTGGTCGCTTCGTTTTGGTGTGGTTGCCTACTTATAAAGTCTCTGCTAATTATCGTCAACAAATACATCTTTCAGGAGTCATAAAAAGTATATACCTGCTAGTTGGCGCGGTGTCCAGGACAGCCTGGCTTACACGTTAGGTAAGCCAGGCCAAGGAGTCAGCAGGTGGTGGATAGAGCTCAGGTCTAGCAAGATTGAAAGCTACACAGCAATAGTGAGCGTTGTACTTAGTCGAAACCAAATGAAAGTGAGTTCAAAGTCATTCAGTCAACCTAAACAACTGGCTTCTTAGAATCATAGAAGTGATTCGTGCTCCACTGGGCCCATTCTCTACTAAAAAATAGTTGGTGGCTGCAAACTGGTTTTGTTGTACGCAGTCCGCTCACCTATAACCAGTCACCAGGACTTTCTCTATATGTCCTTTTCAGTCTACGATAAACCAGTGACAATCCAATACTCTCTTGCAGTGTCTCGCCTTGAAGCTCCGTCGAAACTGTGATTCATGCGCATATTGGACAGATATTTCAGGACCATTAGAATGAGTAATTAATGCGTAGACACTTATTCGTAGACTTACAAATTGCGACTTTATATGACAAACTCCTTGTTGTTAGGTATTGACTTCTCTGCGTATCTCTCTTTCGCGATGCAAGTGCTATGGTTTTTATAATACTAGTGGATGACTGTTTGATATAGTCCGTTTGACTGCCTTCCTTTCCTATGCTAGAACAGCGACTGATGCACTCATACTGGGCTTAGAA